GCCCAACAAAAAAACATCAAAATTAGAATCAAACTTCCAACATACAAAATAACACCAAACAGCAACACCCTTTTCTGAATATTGAAAGAGTGTTTTCTCTTCTCTTTCACAATTTTAATCCTTCCCTGTTTGTGATTTCGCTTGTATCACCTCCCTTAACAGGGTTCCTTTTATAACCGTCACCCAAGGTACGTGCCCCCCAGGCTCTCTCTCTCTGCAGTGAGTGACGCCGCCGCCTCCCTTTCTTCTCTCTCTTGCCCGCCAGGTCCCAGTGTCTCCTTCCCTACAGCTGCTGACGGCTGTTGCAACTCCACCCGACAGACTCTCATTCCTAGCATTCACACACGCCCCCTTCACCCTCACTCTCTCCTCCTTCCCCTTCATTTTCCATCATTCTCTCCTCTCTCTCTCTCTCTTTCCCTCCCTCCTTCTCTTTCTCAAGACAGACTCTAGCCGACAACCACACAGCCAGAACTATAACCTTTTGTCACCAATCTTCTTTTTTTTACCCCCTCACTTTCCCATCCAAAACAGAACAAAAAAAAGACAGCAAAAAAAGAGAAAAGAAAAAAAAAAGAAAATCACATCGTGCTCTTCTCCTTTAGAGAGCTTTCCGTGCATCTCTGCACTTTTGGCTCACCTTCTTTCATCCTTCTTCCCCTTCCTTCTCCTTGGTTCCCTCTGGCGCAAAGCTCCTATTCTGAGTTCAGGCAACCAGGAGGAAGCTGCCCGACTAGCGTCCCCCCCTGCTCTTCTCCCTCTTTCCCAGACTCCACTTTGGTGCCACCATTCAGTGCCACTCACTCACCGGAGTAAACTTGGACCTTATTCCTTGGACCTGGTCCGTGCACATTTACGTCAGCAACACTCTCTCCGAAACTCGTACACTTCCCTCACCCCTGCTGCCTGCTCTTGCGCGCGGCCGATCGCATCGCACCGCACCCAAGCGCAATCGCATTCCGCCATCCCGTCCCTCCCGTCGTGTCGCATTTCGAACCCCTATTCCGCCACCTGAGATAACAACACCGAACGGAAACGCTACCGCCCTGCAACGCCGTCGCAGCACCAGCATATATTTCTTGTGTGCTCTTGTTGCATTGCGTCGCGTTGGACACCCACCCGCCCAGAGCGACTGAGAGCCGTTCTCCATGTTTAGCAGGTTCTGGTCCTCTGACTCCCGGGGAGGCAAGCCCACTGAACTAGGCGACACGCTCGACGCTACCGCCGGCTACACAGTCAGCGCCGCACATGACGATGCATGCGCTGTCCACGCCTCCAAGAGGCGGCGTGCCGACAGCATAGACAACGACGCGCAGGCCGCCGACGTCCTGCCCAAGCGACCCAAACTCAGCGACCGAATACAGGAACAGATCGACAATGCCGGCAGCGTCATGGACAGCCTAGACTCGGCCGAGGACAAGATCGAGAGCGCATTTCAGCTTCAGATCCTCATCAAGCATGAGGAGAAGCGACTCATCGACACCCGCATAGCCGAATGCCAGGCAGCCCTCGAGCAGCTACGACGCGTCCACCTCAAGCCCTACCCCATCAACTGCCCGACACCCCAGCAGATGCTCGACATCAGTGCCGGCAAAGGCCACAGCCTGCAGCGGCCCGACGAGCCCGTCCCGACCTTTGCGCCGCCCTACGGGGTGGTCGACGGCCCATATTCGCGCCACTACCAGCGCTGGCTCATCCCGCACCGCGACTTTGACGGCGTTGACTACGATGCGCAACAGGCCGACCCGTCGCGCTCCAAGGCCTCCTTCGCCGAGGGCCGCACCACCAGGTATAGCTTTGGCGAGCCCTCGGCCTTTTCCAGGGGCCGCCCGTCACGGAGCGCGCCCTCGGCCAAGCTGCAGGCTCTTCAGGCTGGCCAAGCTCCGCGCAAGGCCACTGCCGGCCCCTGCGTTCTCAAGCGCTCTGACGGCCAGGTTGTCAAGCTCGTGTGCATCGACTGCCACCGCGAGAACTTTTCCAGCACCCAGGGTTTCATCAACCACTGCCGCATTGCCCACAAACGCGACTTCAAGAGCCACGAGGAGGCCGCCGTCAAGTGTGGCCAGCCATACAAGTCACCCGAGCCTGGCAGCACCGGTAGTGCCACTTCTGCCGAGGAACGCACCTCTGCATCTGCGCCTACGCCTGCGCCTGCACCTGCGCCTGCACCTGCACCGATACCGGCGCCGGTGCCGGCGGCTCCTCGCCAGAGCTGTGTCGTGAACCCCCTGGTCAAGTCTGGTGGGACCGACATGACTTACAACGAGGCGTGCGCCTCTCTCAGTGCTCGACTCAGGGACGTCATCAAGGTTTACAGCCAGGACGGCCCGAATTCCAAGCCCACCGCCACCAAGGTTAAGGTGGAAAGACCGAGGGCCACTGCTGGTGAGATGGAGGCGTCCTCGGAGACCCCCCACCTGTCGCGGCTCTTGCAGCGCCGCAAGTTTTCTGGAAACCTGCGCGAGCTGGTCAAAGATGCTAAGACGAGTGTGTCCCTGGATGACATAACGCCCGACGAGGACTCTGACGACGGCGAGCCCGTGGCCGCCACCGCAATGGTTGCCCGCACGCCGGTCGTCAAGCGCGTGCCGGTGGTGAGCGCCGACACCCCCACACCTACCGGCCGTCCGATCAGCAGCAAAGCGGTGGCCCACGGCATCAAGACGTCGGACTCGCCGGCACCGAACAGCAGCAGCAGCAACAGCAACGGCAACAGCAACGGCGGCGGCGGCAACAGGCACGGGTCGTCTGATGAGGATGCCGAGATGGAAGAGCCCTCGCTCAGCCCGACGACGCTCATCGCCAACAACGCACCCTCCCTCGTAAGCGACGACGGAGAGTACGACGACTCTGACGAGGGATCGTCGGACGCGGGCCACGGCGAGGAGCTGGAAGACGCGCACTCGCTGTCGGACGTGGCCGACATCACTATGGACGAAGACGGCGACCACCCTCACCGGACTCTCCGACGGACCTCGACAGGAGTGTCGAGCGCCGTCAGACTTGGCAGGGAAGATGCCAAGCAGAGAGTCTCGTTTATCGGGGCCGTGACGGGCAACAACGGCAACGAGAGACGGAAGCGCAAGGCATGACTGGCTCATGCCTCGCGACTTGCATGAACGAGTTTAAAAGAACATTGACGAAACTATCAAGATTAAACAGCCAACAACCAAACCAAGACGAAAAACACTACAACATCTTGCATAATCACTTCTCTTCACCTTCGACTTTACCATCTTTCAACACTACTCAACTTTATTACTATTTTATCTTTTTTACTTTTTTATACTTTTTTTTCCATCCCCGCTATGCCTGGGATGGGATTCTTTCTCTTTCTCTCATATCCAGGATGGAGTAAATGACACATCGGGCTCTTTCTTTTTCTTTCTCCTCTTGGGAGGGACGCGTATTTTGCTGTTCCTGGTGGGGGGGGGGGGGGGGGGGGGGGGGGGGGGGGGGGGGGGGCACAGGGTGGGTGGTTTGCGTGTAGAACAATATCTCTTCTTCTCAACGTTGTTTTTTCTCCAACCTTTCTACAAAATTGTATGTATTTCTGTTTCTTCTTGGGTTACAGCGGTTATGGCTTCTGGCGGCGCGACGGTTTCGGGTTACAATGGGTTCCTTTCTTCTCTCTCTTCTTCTCTTTCTTGCTCTCATCCTTCTTTTCTCGGAGCATTTGATGATGAAGAGGGACGGGGTGAAATCGTACGAAACAGCGTACGACTACAATGAGAAATCTTCACTCTGTTTACTTGTTCGCGTCTTGATATATGAAATTGTGATATGTTGATTAGATCATGGAAGATGACTAATTATTACTACTATTAATAAGTCGTACGATTTATATAAGACGTTTGTTTGCGTGATCGCTGTTGTTGTGGACCATGGCGGTTGCGGTGGTGGTGGTGGTGATGGTGGTGTGCTATAAGGTTGCCGGACAAGGTTCGATGGCAGGGCTGGACCTGCGTTCCTCACAGGAGAGCAGCTACGACGCCGGCAACACCGACCAACATGCCGGGAGCATTAGCTGCCAGCTCGGCGGCAAAGTTTGTCGTGGGCTCGGCGCCGGCGGAGGAGAAGATCTCGGTGGCGGCGTCGTCGGTCGAGGAAGAGGAGACCTCGGCCGTCGACGTCGTCTTGCCCGCCCCAGTGGATGTGGGCGTCGTCGTGGTGACGCGGGAGCAGTACTGGGTGACCTGGTTCTTTGTCGATGCGGCGCGGGGGTCGTCGGGGCAGTTGTTGTAGCAGCTGAAGTTTCTGTGCGTCAGTATTCTTGCGTATTCCTCCTGTCTTCATTCACCGTTTTCCTGTCTCGGATGGGAAGATGGACAGGACCAAGGAATGAGGACAATAGCAACGAGGAGAGAGAAGACAGAAGAAAAACTCACGTTGCTATGGCCTCGTAAGCACGGCATAGACATTCAAAATCGGATGATTTACAGGCGTCGGCCTGATGAGTTGTTAGCAATGTATATATATATATGTGTGTGTGTGTGTGTGTGTGTGTGTGTGTGTGTGTGTGCGTAGAGAGAGAGAGAGAGAGAGAGAAGGCGGGGGAAAGGGAGATGGACAAGATATAGAGGGAAAAGACGAGGAAGGAGGGAAGGAGGGAAGGAGAGAAAGAGAGGGTAAAAATAATAAAACAGTCAAAAAACACACCTTGGCAGTCTCCGAGGTCAAACAGCTCTTGACTATGTTCTCAGCAAGGCAGCCATCATCAGACGAAGCAGTTGATGTCTGAGCGGCGACGGAAGCGGCCAGCATGGCGAGGGGGATGAAGAACTTCATTTTGGGGTGACTGTTGGGGGATCAACAATGAATAGATCAGCACACGCACAAGTATGTGGATGGGTTGAATTTGAATCTTGAACTGGATAGAGGAGAACAGGAGAGAAGAGAAGAGAGAAGAGAAAGAAAGAAAGAATCCGCGGGACACATGAGGGCACACCCCTTTTTATCTTTTCCCTCCTCCTCCTCCTCTTCCCGTCTGCCCCCTTTTCCTCCCCGATGAACCGTTCCCGGATGGTACATTGTCCGAACTATTTCCCGTATAAACTCTATACGACGACAAGTCCTTTATCCTCGCCCTCGCTACAGATACGCGGTAGAGGTCCAGGTCCAGTAGCATTAACGCCATGTGATATAGCTCCCCCCTTGTTCGTATCCAAGACAGGACAAGATTACTCGAGGTACAGAAGAGGCAAGCACCCCGCCAACCGGAGAGGGATGTGAACGGGTCGGGGGGGATACGACACGGTACGCCGTATCATAATACGGTCTAGTCTATCCGAGAGTTCCTGAGGATACGGGAACGGAATACGGGCTGCAAAGCAGAGCAAATGCAAAAGGATGGGGGGTGGGGGGGGGGGAGAGGTCAGAGAGCAGAGAGGTCAGAGACAGACTGGGGGGAGGGGGGAGAGAGAAGAAGAAGAAAAGGGATTTTGAGGCATGTGTTTGTTGTCTAGCACATCCTGTCTCACTTTTTTCTTCTTTTTTTTTTGCAGCTTTAGTAGGTAATACTTTTCGGGGGCAGCAGAAGAGAAATGCAACTAGTAGAGAAGAAAAAGAAAGAAAGAAATGAATGAGTGTAATGATGGTGCATGTCAATATCAGTGCTGCGGCTGCACATGCCATATGCCATTGAAAGGGAGGGATCATGACATGTCAACCTGGGGTCGATTGGGGGGAGTGAGACAGGGCAAGGGACTATCAATGATTCATCGGGGATAGAGTACATGTACTGCTCGGCAAGGTATTGGTATTTTTACGAGATTAGGCAAATGTATCTGGGTAGAGTACGAGGGTACGATTACAGCCATCTGTAAATGTACGAGTATGTTGATATATATATACATGTATATAGTAATATTATTACTGCTGCTCGTACAGTAGAGTAACGGTTGCGGCCATGACTTGGGATTGTACTCGTAGTAGCCTGGGGGGAAAGGGGGGGGGGCTTTTTTTGCTGTGAGACTTGTCGGCGCTGATGGCTCAAAAGAAAAAAGAAGAAGAAGAAAAAAAAAAAGAAACACCATTGGCATTGTCTGTGCTCGTCCCCTGTGCGTCGGGGGGACACCGTGATCCGTCAGTCATCGTATATCGATTGACTCGTATATATATTATATGCGCTGATGCCAGATGGGGATCGCTCGACGCTCGTATCATTGAAAAATTATTTGTTTATTTCAATTTTTTTTACACGCATTCTCGTACGGATATTCCACGGTTTGCTGATGAGGTGCTGTGTACGAAGTACGACGAGTATGCAAGTGCCGTATTACTCGTAATGTGTTATTAATAGTAATACTCTAATACATGATATTATAGCATTGATTCGCTATTACTACAGTCTACAGTCTACAGTCTACATGTATATTACTACCCGTACTGCTGCTGCTGCTGCTGCTGCTGCTGCTACAGGTAGTTATACCACTGCTACTGCTGCTACTGCTGCTACTGCTGCTATTACCGCTATCACTGCTGCTGCTACCACCTCTCATAGCTGCGTACATGCTCGTACCTCATCATCACGCTCCCCTCCCCCTCTTCCCCACTCCCCTTCCCCCACCGCCCAAACAAGCTGTCAGCTAGAAACAGTCCGACCCCTCCATCTTGAACCTCAACAACGCCCTCATGATCTCATCATCGCTGTGATCATTGACAAGACCCCCTCCTCCTTCTACGTCTTTGACCCCCTTATTCATCACATCCGCAGCATGGCAACCCCTTCCATCCAGATTGACCGCATCCTCGCTGCCGTCCCGGCTACCAACCGTGGACATCCCACGCAGCTCTCTACCGACCCCAAGGGCAGGAGGATAGCTTATGCCGTAGGCCAGATCCCAAACTTTGCTCCATAGAATTTCTTCTTCTTCTTCTTCCTCTCTTTTTTTTTCCAGAGATTTTTTTTTTTTTTCGTTTTCCTTGCTTACGATTACGTATATTATTAGTCCGGTAAATCTATATTCGTGCGGAGCATCGACGACCCATCCGACAGCAAAGAGTACACGGGCCACAACTCGGCCACGACGGTCGCGCGCTTCTCGCCCAGCGGCTTCAAGGTGGCCAGCGGTGACGCGTCCGGGATCCTGCACGTGTGGGAGCCGGACAACATCGACAGCACCTCGCGCAAGGAGTACCAGATCATAGCCGGGCGTCTGAACGACGTCGCCTGGGATGGCGAGTCGCAGCGGGTCATAGCTGTCGGCGATGGCCGCGAGCAGTTCGGGCGCTGCATCACGGCCGACAGCGGCAACTCGGTCGGCGAGATCATCGGCCACGCCAAGTCGGTCAACGCCGTGGCCATGAAGCCGCAGCGGCCCTTCCGCGCCGCCACCGTCAGCGACGACGGCAACATGGTCTTCTACCACGGCACGCCCTACAAGTTCCAGGAGAAGGTGGCCGCCCACCGCAACTTCGTCATGGGCGCCGCCTACTCGCCCGACGGAGCCGCGCTCGTCACCGTCGGCGCAGACAAGCGCATCCAGCTGTACGACGGCAAGACGGGGGAGCCCACCCGCCAGATCGGCGAGGGCGAGCACACCGGCAGCATCTTCGCCGCGTCGTGGTCCCAGGACGGGACGAGGCTCGCCACCGCCAGCGCCGACCGCACCGTCAAGCTCTGGGACGTCGAGGCCGGGTCCGTCGTCCAGTCCTGGTCCTTCGGCGACGGCCCCGCCGCCGTATCGCACCAGCAGGTCGGCGTCGTCATCCCCCACGGCCGCGACGACGGACTCATCATCAGCGTCAACCTCGACGGCGACCTGTCCTACCTCCACGAGGGGAAGCCCGAACCCGTCAGGGTCGTGCAGGGCCACAGCAGGGGCATCACCGCCCTGGGGACCGGATCTGCCGACGGTGCCGGCCCCGCCACTTCCCTGTGGTCCGGCAGCTTCGACGGCCGCGTCTGCCACTGGGACGTCGGCACCGGCACGCCCGCCGCCGTCGACGGCCAGCACCACACCAACAAGGTGGCCCACCTGGCCGCCCACGCCGGCAGGACGTACACGGTCGGCTGGGACGACGTGCTCCGCGTCGTCGACGAGTCGGCCAGGGCCTTCCTCGGCGACTCCGAGTCCAGGCTGCCGGCCCAGCCGCAGGATGCCGCCGTGTCGTCCGACGACGGCACCGTCTACGTCGCCACCTCGTCCGGCCTGGCCGTCTACTCGGCCGCCAGCAAGCTGGTCAGGGAGCACTCCCTCCCCTTTGCGCCCTCTTCCGTCGCCGTCTCCGGCTCCACCCTCGCCCTGGGCGCCGACTCCAACTCTGTCAAGGTCTACAACGCCGCCGGCTCCGGCACCAGCCTCGAGGAGGTCCAGACGCTGACGAACCCGACCGGCACCATCTCCGCCCTCGCCTTCTCCCGCGACGGGTCCCACCTCGCTGCCGGAAACGCCGCCGGGAAGATCTACGTCTACGCCGCCGCGGGCGGCTGGGGCCTCGTCTCGGACCGCTGGTCCGCCCACACGGCCCGCGTGACGACCATCGCCTGGGACCCCTCGGGCGCCTACGCCGCCAGCGGCAGCCTGGATACTAACCTCTTTGTGTGGTGTCTCGAGAAGAAGCTCCAGGGAAAGAGGATCAAGGCGGCCAACGCGCACAAGGACGGCGTCAATGGTGTCGTCTGGATTGATGGAGCTACGCTGGCCAGTGGTGGTGGTGACGCGGCGGTCAAGATTTGGAAGGTCAAGGATCTGCCTTGATCTCTTGTTATTCCTTTTGAAATTAGAGACTCTTGATTTCGGTCCACATGTTTGATGAGAAAGAGCGATTACAAAGAGGTCATGCCGTCGTCTACAATGCAATCAAGTCACATACTCTGACATGTAGAGACATCCTTCGACAGCGATCGTACAGTTGGATCCCAGCTCCTAGTCATGCGTCATCCGGGACGCCTGCTCCGTTTGAGCGGGGCCGATACCCCAGATGCTTCCTATGCTGGTCTCGGCTCTGGTCTCGTTGGTCTTACCGGCAAAGGGGTCGTGAGACGGCCATCGCGTCCGGTTCTCCTCCGAGAGCAGATCCGCCTTATCGATGGCTTCTTGGAGGTGGTGGCGCCTGGCATATGTCAGGGTAAAAACAGGATCCAAGAGAAGGATGGTGAACGGGGTGAATAGATGTGGATAGATGAAGGATGGGGATGGAGATAAACCTACTGCGTCGTACTCTTTATGGTGTAGCCCTCGTCAGAGAGGTGCTCTGCCAACTCAGTCTGGTGATCGTCCATGAGACTGGTATTAGGAACGACGATGAGCGGAAGACCTAGTTTCCAGGCGTCGAGGATGGTCCCGGTGCCTTTTGCCGTGACTCTGTCAGCAGAGAAATCTCACCTGTCTCTTGTTACGGGGGAGGGAGAGGAAAGAGAGATACGGACGGGACGCACCGGTGTGGGAGATCACCAGCCCCATCTGGCGTTCTGAGCTCTGTCGACACGCCATCATCTCCTCCCCGAACAGATTCCGACTGAGACCGAATACCTCGACCGTCATTCCCGACGGGACGAGATGCAGGCGCGAGGACAGCTTCCCCTCCGCCCACCCGACGTCGGGACCGCACTGGATCCGCAGGCTGGTGAAGCCCTTGGCGGAGAGGTATGCCCAGAATGAGGGCTCGAGCACGGCGTCTGTGAGGTCTCGAAAGCCAACGGTTGCGCCGACGGTGACGAGGCAGTTTCGGGGGAGGAGTGCCATGGTTGGAGAGTGCTGGGAGAGCAAGGAGGCGGGGTGGGGAGGGACAGCGAGATGTGATCAAGTCATTGTCAGATACATCCAGGCAGTTTGGTTCATTCCAATGGCATGGGAAGAGTTGTTGAAGGTGAGAGTCTGTTGTAAGAAGAGTCGAAGGGTACGTACCTGGCGGATCCCGAGGGTCGCAGTCCTGACCTGAACTTGACCCCCTGGGCCAACATCGGCTAAACACCAACTGTTGCTACTCGCTTCTCCCCGGCCCAAATTTTTCGCTGGGACAGCGATTGTGCCTCTGTCCCTGCGGTCACGCGTCCCAAACCTGGACAGGCACGGATCGTTTGCGTGTCGACTGTCCCACGTCCTCCACCCCCCTCCTCCCGTCTTTTCCATATCAGTCCCCGCACGCGCAATGGCATCGAATTCAACGTCAAGCGCTGCCGCACGCCTGTGCGCCCTGGCCTGCCGACAGGCCGCCCCGAGGGCTAACACGGTGCAGCGTATCGCTATCAGATCGACAGCCACCACCTATCGTCGGCAATTTACCACTACGATGTCGAGATGGGAAGGGGAGCAGCCGCCAAAGGATCAAGAGAAGAAGAAGAAGCAGCAGCAGCAGCAGCAGCAAGTGAAGAATGGATCGGAGGAGGAGCAAGGTTCATCGCCACCTGCTGCTGCTGCTGCACCTGTCGTCCCCCCGGCCCCTGAGCAGATTCCCGGCATGACCCTTTCCGACGCGGCGGCCGAATTCAAGAATCTCGAGATCCTGGACATCACGGCCAAGGAGCACGGGTACCGCGACTTTGACGAGTTCGTGTCGCGCCACCCCGAGAAGGGACCCATGGCGCCCAGGGTGGAGAGGGAGTTTGAGCGCTGGGTGGCGCAGCTGGACGAGACCAAGGTCGACAAGAACTCTTGGTGGCACGACGAGGATGACCCGGAGATGGACTGCGAGGAGGTCGAGGACTTTGACGAGGACGACATGACAGAGATGGCTCACGCCAAGCTCGAAGAGATCAAGGAGATGAGGCAGTATGCTCGACGGGCTGTATATGAGCTACCTCTATTGTCCGGTATGTTTTCCCCCTCTCTCCCTCTCCTTGTCGTATCCTCTCTATAGAGAGAGGAGATACGTAAAAAATCTAAAATCTAAAAAATCAAAAATCAAAAAAGAAATGAAAAAAAAAAATAAAAAGCTAACAAGACTACCTCCACACAGAACTTGCCAAACCCTTCGAACCCCCTACGTCCAAGCAGGTCCTACGATGGCGATACACAACCTACTTTGGCGAGTCCCACCCGGCCGAGAGCAAGGTGGTGGTGCAGTTCTCCCCTGACGACCTGGGCCTCACGGCCGTGCAGGCGGACAAGCTGCGCAAGCTGGCGGGCACGCGGTACAACCCCGAGACCCAGCTGGTCAAGATGAGCTTCGAGGGTTTTGAGCACCCGGCCCAGAACAAGCGCCACCTGGCCGACGTGGTCGGGCGGCTCATCGCTTCAGCCAAGGACGGATCCGACACCTTCGCCGACGTGCCCCTCGACACCAGGCACCACGTGGTCAAGCCCAAGCCCCGCTTCCCCAAGGCCTGGCTCATGACCGAGGAGCGGCGCAGGTTCCTCGACGAGAACCGCCAGAGCCTCATGCTCGACGAGGTCCAGCGTGCTCAGGCGGGGAGCGTCGTCGACGGCAAGGAGGCCATCGAGGGGTACCTCCTCCGCAAGATCAAGGAGGACCAGGAGAAGGCGGCGGCACAGCCTGCCGTTGCTGCCCCCGCCAAGTCGAATGCTAGGTCCAAGGTCAGGGCCTAGACTGGGTCCTTCTGGCAGGAGGCTTGGACGGTTGAAGGGGCTTGCATATGACGTGCGAGCTTCTCTCTGTATCAAATCATTTTTTTTGTGTGTGTATCACATCATGTTTGTGTGTTCTATATCAGCGGATGAGATCGTCCAACCCCCCCCCCCCCCCCCAAAAGGGAAAAAAGAGGGTCACCTGACGTAGGGAGTAGTGTAGGGGGATTTCTAAAAAAAAACCTGTATAGTAGTAGGAAAGGATGCGTGTGTGTGTGTGTGTGTACTATCTTCACGATGCATATATAAAATTCAATGATGGAAAGAAAACACTGGTAGCTCTTTATCTTGAGAAAATGGCGTAACAGTACGTGCGGGTGAACACGGCTCCTCACCATTATGAGACTCGGGAGTCTTGGAATCTAGGAATCTAGCTTGTCCCGACAGAGTGCTAGAGTTGTAGATGATATTACCCCCATCGGACTTCCTCCACGGATCAGAATTTCAGAGGCGGGGGAGGGGGGAAGAAAAGAACAAGAAGAAAGGAAGAAGAAAAAGAAGAAAGCAGAGTGACGTCAGATAAGGACCTCGGCAATGAGTGTGCGAACCAGTCTGAACAGTCAGGTCAATGTGATGGCCTGTGGGATACAGGTAGAGAGAGTACTACGACGTCAAGGACTGACTGACTGACTGACTGACTGTCCAACCGTCCAACCGAGGCTGCCGGACCACCCCCGCTCATGAGATCGCTGGAGCTCCCTGGAGCCTGGCCCGTAATCTGTACCGGCAGGCCAGCTAGAACTTTGTCAGGGGACCAGTACCACCCACCCCAAGACGCTAAGGGGTATCATTCTAATTCATTACGGCGATACAGCGATACAGCACTTACTCGTACCGATCCAGTGGGCTGGGGGCTCCCCTGGGCGGTGCGCGCGAGGCTTGCATCGACGCTGCAAGCCACCTGTAACTTTTGTGGTGGCGGCTGGTTGCTCTGGAGAAAGGGCCGGCATGCCTTCGTCGGGGCAGCGTGAGACAAGATAATATCATCTACCTGTTCTACCTGTGCAGGTGCACATTTCTAATACCTGTACATTTGAACTCCAGGTCCTTTGACAATATGATGACGGCTAGCCGTCCATCGGTTACGCTAAGTGTCGGTAGTCCGTCCGACTGAGCTAGAGTACTTGTAGTATTATTATTAGTGGTACTGTAGCTCGGTCGCAGCTTGGATGTGGCACTGACCTGTTCTCCTCCTCTTTGTCTCTCTTAAACAATTATCCCTTCTCTTTTTCATTATCCCTTCTCTCTTTATTATCCCTTCTAATTTACTGACATCATTCAACTCAACTCGTACCTCTCTCTCTCTCTCTCTCTCTCTCTCTCTCTCTCTCTCAACACTCTTCATCCTCACAGCTACAAGACGTTTCATCACATTTTACCTCTTCATCGTCATCATCATCATCTTCTTCTCCTTCTCCTTCTTCACCTTCATCTTCCCCATCCCCCCCCCCCCCCCAAAAAAAAAACCCTGTGATACCTCACCATGGCCGACGAGACAAAAGACAGCACCTCCACTACCCTTGTGCTCCCACCCTTTCAGCCCTCGGCCGCTGAGGACATCGGCCCTCGCCATGCCGAGCTGCGCGCGAGCTTTCGCGCCGGCCGCACGAAGGACATGGCTTTCCGCATCCAGCAGCTGCGCAAGCTGTACTGGGCCGTCGTCGACCTGGAGCCCCTCCTGGTGCACGCGGCGTACAAGGACTTCCGCAAGGCGCCGCACGAGACGGTGCTGACCGAGACGTCGTGGATCAAGAGCGAGTGCCTGGACATGATTGACAACATGGAGGAGTGGTCCAGGGACCAGCCCGTGGTCGGCGTTCCGGCCAGCTTCTGGCCCATGAAGCACCGCCAGCGCACCGAACCCCTCGGCACCGTCCTCGTCATCGGCGCCTTCAACTACCCCTACCAGCTCACCCTGCTGCCAATGGTGGGCGCCCTGGCCGCGGGCAACACCGTCCTCGTCAAGCCGTCCGAGTCGGCCCCCCACTCGGCCATGGCCATGCGCCAGGTGGTCGAGCGCCTGGACCGGTCGTGCTACGCCTGCGTCAACGGCGGCCTGCCCGTGTCCCAGGCCCTGCTGGACCTCGAGTGGGACAAGATCGTCTTCACCGGCGGCAGGAGCGTCGGCCGCATCGTCGCCCAGAAGGCGGCCGAGACCCTGACGCCGACCCTGCTCGAGCTGGGCGGCCGGAACCCGGCCTTCGTCGCCAAGGGCGCAAACGTCGAGCTCGCCGCCCGTCGCCTCCTTTGGGGCAAGTCCCTCAACGGCGGTCAGGTCTGCATCTCCCACAACTACGCCCTCGTCGACCGCTCCCTCGTCGGCCCCTTCATCGGCCAGCTCAACAGGCAGTACCGGTCCTTCATGCCCCGCGGCGCCAAGAGCAGCCCGGACTTCTGCCGCATCATCAACAGGGCCGGCTTCGACCGCATCAAGGCCATGGTCGACAACTCGAACGGCAAGATCGTCATGGGCGGCGCCATGGACGCCGACGACCTCTTCATCGAACCCACCGTCGTGCTCACCGAAGATATCAACGACAGCATGATGACGGAGGAGAGCTTCGGTCCTGTCTGGTCCATCGTGCCGTACGACAGCCTCGACGATGCCATCGATCTTGCCAACAAGGTCGACTCTACGCCCCTTGCCCTGTTTGCCTTTGGCAACGACAAGGATTGCCAGAAGAGTGAGTTCCCGCCCACGTACTCGGATGAGGAAACAGAGAGAGAGGGAGAGAGGGAAGCATAGGGGACAATGTGCTGACACGACATGCCAAAATAGTTCTCAACTCAGTCACCTCGGGTGGAGCCACAGTCAACGACTCGTACATGCACTCCTCAATCCCCTGCGCGCCCTTTGGCGGCGTCGGCAAGTCCGGAAACGGCACCTACCACGGCTACTACTCCTTCAAGGCCTTCAGCCACCAGCGCACCATTGCCAAGGTGCCCGCCTGGGCCGACGCCCTCCTCCGCGTTCGCTACATGCCCTACTCGCCAAAGGATCTGTCTCGCTACCAGTACATGAACTCGAGGAGCATCAACTTTGACCGCCAGGGCAACGTGGTCAAGGGCTTCCGGTACTGGGTGTCGCTCATCCTGTGCCTGGGTGGTCAGGGGGTAAAGGGGACACTGGTCAGATGGGTTGCTCTCTTAGCCATCGGGCTAGCCGGACTGCGGTCTCGGCTGATCCAACAATAGGTGAGAGGATAAAGGAGCGTATCCGCTGTGGGCGGGTACTCCTCTTCCTCTTCTTCTCTTTCTTCCTTCTCTTCTGTGTCTGTATGGGTATGTGTCTCTCAGGTCAAATTTTTTTTGAGAGGGGGAGTAATTTGTATTGGTACCTTGAGTGGATGGGATGGACATGCGGGTGAATTTGCTAGGTCTTGATTTTGACAGAAGGAATAAGACAAAGTTTGGCTTTTCCAAAAAAAAAAAAAAAAAAAAATT